AGATGAGGCAATCTGCTCCCATAATTATTGACAGCCTCAGAAAACCTAGGAGCCCTGGTGGCCTCGTGGTTACGTGCTGGGCTGCAGGGTCCACCGCTCGAACACCAGCCACTCCACGGGAGGAAAACGGGATTTCTGTTCCCACAGTGACTGTCTCAGAGACAGTTCTACCTGCGCTCTGGGCTCAGCACGGATCAGTATCCGTCGGCATGAAGATAGTGAGTTTGCTTTAGTTTTAAATGGGATTGACTTGGTGCCAATAGGTAGGTTTCCCGCCCCGGAGGCTGATCTTCCAGCAGGGTAAGACCCGGGAGTTTTCTGTTGTGACCCCCAGACTTTTCACTGGCTAATTTGGGGAAGCACATCACCAGGCCTTTCTCCCTGGCTCTGAGAGTAGGATATAGAGGGTCCCAGTGCACAGAGTTTGGGAAAGTGGTACCCCAGTGAGGGAGTAAATTCTGTGTTGAGGAAGATGAGAACCAGGGCAGGGTCTGAGCCACTTAGAGAGTTTGCTCATTCATGAACTCCCTCGCCGTGTCTCCATTCAACAAATGTGTGCTGAGGCTTCCTGTACGCCCGTCACGGGGCTGGGGCTGGGGCTGGGCCTGAGACAGAAAGAACAAGAGAGACAGTGAACCTAGCCAGTTCTGAATACGTTATCAATGGTGAGCTTCCTAGTGGCCAGAGCAATCAGGGAAACATGCAGCGACAGGTCCCACTCCAGCCACGGATGCCAAGGTCTGAGTTCCTCCGCAGAAGCCAGGTTTCCCCGCGGCTTCCACATCCACTGGGCTTTGCCACTGATCTGGCAGGGACAAGCTTGCCTGTTTCCCGGGTGAAGACTCTCGGTAGTAAGAGAACAGCTTCACAGATTAACTGTGAACACCGACCAGAGGCGCCTTCTGTGGAATTTTCTTTTCTTCGGGTCTTGGCACGTGTTGCTCCCTGCACCTTTCATTCCATCACACTACTGGTGGTGTGCTGGCTTACGCATTGGGCTGCTAACCTCAAGGTCAGTGGTCTGAATCCACCAGTCACTCTGAGTGAGAAATATCAGGCTTTCTGCTCCTGTAAAGATTTACAGGTTCAGAAAGCCAAAAACTGGGCACCCACACCTGAGGGCCAAGTGGTGACACCTCCCCATGGTGGGGTGGCATGGCAAAGGTTCGCCTGCCCTCTGACCCCTGCCTCTTATCCCCTTAGACTGCCTGGAATTATTGCTGCCTCCGCCATCTCCCATGGCCTACATCCCAGGTGGGGCTGCCCCTGCTGCTGGGGCAGCCCCTGTGGGCTCCCAGTACTGCGTGTGCAAGGTGGAGCTCTCGGTGAGTGGCCAGAACCTGCTGGACCGGGACGTCACCTCCAAGTCAGACCCCTTCTGTGTCCTCTTTACGGAGCACGATGGCAGGTGGATGGAGGTGAGTCCCTCTGTGTGTGTTTGCTGGGGGCAGGGCTGGCTAGCCTCCTGGAGAAGGGCTCCAGGGGCATCCAGGTCAGGCCAGAGGGAGCTTTACCAACTCCTGGAAATAGTTGGCATGGGGGCCGGTGGCAGGGACTTTGAAAATGGTGACTGTGTTAGTCAGGGTAGACTAGAGAAACAAATTCATAGACACGCACACATATGTGTATAAGAAAGAGCTTTATATAAAGAGTAATTGTACATTAAGAAAGCATCCCAGCCCAGTCCAGATCAAGTCCATATCAGCCCATAAGTCTGATATTAGCCCATATCTGATACCAATCTATAAAGTCCTCTTCAGACTCACGAAACACATGCAGTGACACTGAATGCAGGAAGATCACAGGCCAGTGAGTGGGAAGTCTTGTGGATCCAGTGGCTATGTAAACATCTCATCTCACCGTGGCTTCTCCACCTCCAAGACTCTAGTGTAGTTCCATGTGTCTTGTCAGCTGCAGTGGCTACCAGGGAGTGAGGAGAGAGAGATCTGAGTGTGTGTGTGTGTGTGTGTCTCCCGCCTCCAAGGAGGAATACAGGAGTTCCCAGAATCCTCAAGAGAAGGCCATGCCCACACAGAGGCCTCATTGACTATATCCTGATTGACAGGCTAGACTCCACCCCTACACTCTTAATCCTCAAATTGACA